TACGTGTGGACATAGCCTTACTCTAATGTAAATGTAATCAGACAAATCTGGATGTTTCTCATTTCCCGCTTTTGTATTTTATGATATTAAGCTTGTGCCCTCTAGCCTTGCCCCCTTAAAGATCCCGTCACACCTCCCTGACTATTAGTAAAGTCCAAGCTAAAATAAAAACTAAATACAAACCTTGGTGGACACAAACTTGACCGAAACCTCAAATGGAACAAGCGTCTCTATGGTTACCGTCTCATCCTGGAGAAGAAAAAAAAAGAGAGAGGTGTAAAGCAGGAAAACAAATGTTAGCATCTGTTAATCGCTGAGCCGTCTGTTAGCTGTGCGGGTCAGACGAGCTTTCTACCTTGTGACACTTGCACATAATCTGTCGTCCTTCTACGGTGGTGTCGATGGCGTAGGCCACGTGGAACAAGAAGACCCTGGGTCCGGTTGATACACACTTGACATACACGCATTTCTCCAGCTAGAGGCAAACACACAGCTCACAAACTCACATTTCTTCTCTTGCTGTGAAGAACCTGACAGTGTTGGCGTTTTGTGTGGTATGCTGAATGGACATTTCTTTGTGAGACTCACCTTTTCACCCGGTTTCAGCTCTCCCAGAGGCACATCGGGGAGCAAAGAAGGCTCGCTGTCATCGCAAAACTTCGATCCGTCAAGTGTCACGTGAGTGGTCTGGCCTAGATTGGCATCCTGACCTGAACAAGCAAACCAAGACAAACGCTAAATTAGCATTCGTATGCTGCTGTATGTTATTGAAACAGTTACATTACCGATGTACCTGGTTTGAGGCCAGCAGTTAATTTAACATCTTTAGCCATGGCCTCCTCCTGTGATTGGACAGTCAGCTTGATGCAGTACATTTCATTGGTGAGCGCAGGCGGCTGGTGGCTCAGCTGAACAGAGATCTTTGGGACTCTGGAGATGATCCTAAACACAAGAAGCATTTCTGTTGATTCGATCCCAGCACGGACACTGCTCAAACTGACGGGTCGGTAACGGCGTTTTCTGACTCACATGGTGCTGTGCTGCACGGTCAGGCTGTCCCAGTCCAGCTCCTGACGTGCTTCGATGTTACGGCCCCAACGCCGTGAACACCTGCTGGCCTGCAAGGCTTCCTGTGCAGACGCAGCGTCTCCACCTGCTCCTCTCCAGCTCACAAACACACAGCGACCACCGTCGCCACCCAGCATCACCTCGATACCCGTCATCTATAACAACACACATATTAATCAATGTTTCTATCCATGTCTCTCTCTCGCAATCACAAACAAAAACTTCTCCTTACCTCGATCTTCTTACCAACATCTTCAGTTTTTGCCACAAAGCTGAAGTTGTAGCAGGTGGTTTTTCCTGGTAACAGACTCATGGCCTCCTGGCCCGACCACTCTGCCACACACCACTGGTTATACTCCTAATAAACAAAAACACCTTCATACGTCACATACAATACCCATCAGTGTTTTATGGCTCAGGGACAGGAAGCTAAGCTACTGCAGCATAATCATGAAGAACAGTGAACATAAGGTTTGTTATTTTCAGTCACAGCTGTCTGCACTAAACGAGGTGAACATGAACGAGTCTGGGTTTTATTACTGCAGACGTTTTTGAACTAACCATGATGACCATGCAACATAGATACTGATAATTACAGAAGTAAATAAACACAAGACCAAGGCTACGTCCACACGTAC